TATTGATGGGGTTTTACAAGGTGCAAATACAGCTTGGGTGTATGGCCAGAGTTGCTGTCCCATTAGGTGAGCTGCAAACAGACACTTCTATAAAAGTAGGAGGAAGGCCAATTTAGGACTATACCCCAAATGTCATAAAACCCACCAAAGATATTTATATAAAGTTATGTTGTTGTTATGTGCCATCGAGTCGATTTCCACCCATAGCGACCCTGTATAGGGTTTCCAATGAGCAGCTGGTGAGCTTGGGCCGCTGAACCCACAGCGCCACACCAGGACTCCATATAAAGTTATGGGATCCCATAAAATAACATTTTTAAAAAAGCAATAACTTAAAATTAAAAAATTTTAAATCTCAGGAAAATATGAATTATTGTTTGGCGCTACCTAGTGGACAAAAGAAAAAAAATTAATTGTAGTCTACAATGCTGACTGACACTTCCAGATGATTCCTGTTTGTGCCCTGTGCCCTGGGTAAATCCTTCCCCAGAGTAACTCAGGAGATCAGCATTAATCATTCTGCTTGTCAGAGACCTTGTGTGAGCAATGCTGGACCTTCCCTGGGAGTATGCACTCACCCACGTGGAGATGTTTAGACCAGACAGAGGAGTGGTAAGGTAAAGTGAAAAAAACACTGAAGATTAAAAAAAAAAAAAAGGCACTCGTACCTGTTTTGGTAGATTGCTGGGTGATTTCTGCCTCCTTGTAAGCTTCTAAGCTACTTATCACAGTAGGATATAGAATGCTGTAAATCATGTTATGTTCATTGACTCAGCTGTCCCCTGCGACTGTCGTATGAAGCCCCCAAGCCCAGCAACTTAATATCACAAGGAGTTTGGTTATGGCTAAGAAGTTTCCTATCTTTTCCCCGTTTGCTCTACTAAATACATGGATATGTTTATAGCCCATACTAACGAGCTCTGGTAGCGTAGTGGTTATGAATTGGGCTGTGGGCCGCAAGGTCAGCAGTTCGAAACTACCAGCGAAAGAAGAGGCTTTCTGCTCCCGTAAAGATTTACAGCCTCGGAAACCCTGTACAGGGTCGCTATGAGTCGGAACCGACTCCACGGCACACAACAACAACAACAATCCTAATACACGGTGTCCTGGTGTGGCGCTGTGGTTTAATGCGCCAGACTGCAAAGCCGTTTGAACTTCAAGGTCGGCGGTTCAAGCTCACCAGTCGCTCCTCGAAAACCCTGTTTAGGGTCGCTATGGGTCGGATCCGACTCGACGAAACTTAACAACAACAATCCTAATACACACGTAGAAATATTCTCTGCCAAACCAATACAGGACCCTTGGTGTGGCTTAATGAGCTGGACCGCAAAGTCAGGCTGAACCACAAGGTCGGTTGTTCAAGTTCACCAGCCACTCCTTGAAAACCCTATAGAGTTGCTATGGATCAGAACGGACTCAACGGCGTTTAATAGCAACAATAACCAACTAATACAAGGAGGCTTCAAAAAGTTTGTGGAGAAATCCCATCATCTTTTCATTTCATATTCTCATGAAAATTTTGGAGCCCATTCACATATGGTCATGGGTGTATCAATAAAGATTTGTGAATTAGTGAGTGAATGAATAAATTCAATCAGCTTGTGTTTCTTCATTTGAAGGCCACTTAACTATTTTAAGGAAGTCCTGGTATGGTGCTGCAGGATAAGCACTGGACTACTAACCACAAAGTTATCAGTTCAAACACACCAGCTGCTTCTTGGAAACCCTATTCAGGGTCACTATGAGTCAGAACTGACTCAAGGGTGTTTAACAACAACAATATGTTAGTAATGTATTTTTGTCCCCCTGAAGCTCAGATTTTTATGTGTGTGATAACACCAGTTCATTAATACTATATGGTACTGGGTGACTTTTCAATTTACATTTTCACATTGTTCTTAACTTCAGGTAACTTTTCTTCTATCAAAGATCATTTCTGTTATATTTGTTCAGGCATTTTCTTTAAAAATACTGCTTTGAGGTGTGCACTAATATTTTGAAAATGCTCTCAAATATCTCTCATTTCAAATTTCAACTAAAATGTCATTGCATCAGAAAGCCTTACCCGTAACTCCCTTATATTAAAGTGCTTGCCACCTTCTGACTTATCACTCTTTATTGGATATAACCCACTTAAAATGATACCTGCCACATGGCATGCTTGCTCATTAAGTGTATTATTATCTTTTGCTCGTTTATTGTCAGCATCACCCCATAAAAAAGGTATGTAAGAGAAGATAATTTGTTCTTGTCCACTACTGTCTTACTGGAAACTAGATAAAGATGTCTATAAGAATGTCATTAATTAATTGATAAAAATAGATAAAACCATGGAGTGAGTAATAATGTATGTATGTGTATATATGTATGTATATTACATAAAATTTATATTTATCTCTAATTTAGTTTCAAGTAAATTACTTTTTCTATTACTGTGAGAATTCAGTGTTGTTAATACAGTATGCAAAATCTGTAAATTACTGAAGTACTGATGTAGTAACTCAAGACCGAGCAGTTAATGAGCTATAAAGCTCATTTTAAAAATTAGCTGCTCTGTACATTTAATATGTAAACAATACTTCCACTTTTTATTGTCAGTATTTATTTTGGACATGAAGGGTAAACTGCAGAAACAAACTGAATAACTTGACTTTGATGCAGTTACTTCTACAGCTGTGGGCTCCTGGGAACACTGAACTGTAATTCATACCTGAAGCTTCTTCAATTTTTAATAGAATATTATTATGATAATGTAATCCAAGAATTTCAGAATAGCTGAATTTTACTGGGACTCAAGACTCTTCTATATCAGGGGATCATTTTATTTATTTTTTAAAAAAGTATTTCTCCTTGTCATGGACTGAATTGTGTCCCCACCCCCTCACCCCCCAATATGCCATATGCATCAACTCAGATGGGCCAGGTTTTCCAGTGTTTTGGTAGCTATGTAATTATATAATGTGGCAGCTAGGCAATGATGCAATTACCCTCCATGATGTGATCTCATGTGGTCAGCCCTGAGCTGATATAATTATCTAGTGTGTCGTAAATGCCCATTTTTATGATGTTAATGGGGCCAGATACAGTCTGCAGGATTAGGGTGCATCTTGATTTATTCTCTTTGGATCTATAAAAACGTTAAACAAGCAAGAAGAGAGCAAAGAGACCTAGTACCACCAAGAAAGAAGAGCCAGTAGTAGAGTTCAACCTTTGGACCTGGAGTCTTTGCACTATGGAAGCTTCTAGATCCAGAAAAAGACTGATGCCAAGACTCACAGAGATTTCCAGGGACTGATGGGCCTACAGATGCTAAAATGGACAAGAACTTTTCTCCAGAGATAACAAAGAGGGCAAGTCTTCCCCTAAAGCCAGCACTCTAAATTTGGGCTTCTGCTCTCCCAAACTGTGAGAGAAAAAATTTCTACTTATTAAAGACATTCACGTGTGGTATTTCTGTGATAGCATACTAGACAACGAAAACATTCCCTATAGCATATATCAGATGAGAAAGGGTTGAAATGTTAAAGAAACATTAGTATATTTGTTGTTGTTGTTGTTAAGTGCTGTGGAGTGGGTTTCAACTCAGCGATCCTTTATAGGGTTTCCGAGTAGAGGCTGGTGGGCTTGAAGTGCTAACTTGTGGTTAGCAGTCCAGTACTTATCCTATAGCATCATGCCAGTTTATTTAATATGACCTAAATTAGGGATGTTTCTTTCTGACAAAATTAGTTTTCAGGATGTCATTTGTTGCTGTTGTCCTGTGCGATCAAATCAGTTCTGACTTACAGAGACTGTATTTTCAGTCGAATGAAACTGTCTTGTCCTGCACTAGCTTCATAATCATTGTTATGCTTGAGCCCATTGTTGTAGCCACTGTATCAATCCATGTTGCTGAAGATCTTCTTGTTAGCTGAGCCTTTATGTTACCAAGCTTGATGATTTCTCCAGGGACCAGTCCCTCTTGATAACATGACCAACATACATGCGAAGTCTTGCTATCCTCACTTCTAAGAAGCATTCTGGCTGTACATCCTTCAAGACAGATTTGTTTGTTCTTTTGGCAGTACCTCGTATATTCAATATTCTTTGCCTGTACCATAATTCAAAGGCATCAACTCTTCTTCAGTCTTCCTTAGTCACTGTCCATCTTTTGTATGAATATGGGGCAGTTGAAAACACCATGGCATACAAAGGATACATAGAATGACATAAGAAATTACAAAAAGAGTCCTAATAAGAAACTCAATGAAAACAAGTTAGACAGTATATGTAAGTTGATTGGCTGTCAGTTCAACCCAAACTTTCCAAACAGCTGAGCCTATATACAGCTTTCTTTAACTGAAGTGAAATATTAACAATACTGATGATAATCAAAACATTCCCTTGTAAAACATATATTCATTCTAAGTATACTTTTTCTTGTTAAAAATCTTTTGAAAACTAGTCTTTTTCCAAAAAAGATTACTGTATCTAATTTGTTGCATGAAATGCCTCCTTGATTGTACATAATTTTGAATGTACCATCTACACCCCTCCATGTCTAATAGCAAAATGCCTCTTCAAATCTGACTTCTAATTAAATGGAAGTGTGAACATTAATGCAGATTTTTATAAGAAAAACATTATCTCTATACCAAAAAATATATTATGATATCATTTAGAGAGAACTCATGTAATAGCTGAGAAGTTATGAACTGATTAAAGCATTTAAAGTACATGGAATAATTTATGAAAATGACAGTTCATTTATTGCAATATCACTTTCAACATCCTGTATTCAGAAAATATTTAAATACTGTAGAATAGAAATAGAAAAAAGGACAAAAATTTACAAGCTATCTTTGATAAATGAGAAATTAAATAAAACTTAGTGACACTTATAAGTTAATAAAGACAAAGAAGGCAATAAAGAGGAAGAGAGATGGTACTGACAATATTATCAGATCTTTTACATTATAAAACAAATATTCATAATGGGAAATAATTCGTTCATAACTTACCTCTGCATACTTTAATTTCAATGTTTTATGCATTTCTCGAAAACGACTGTAACGCCTAAATATGGTCCATGTCTCATCTAGGACAGCAATCTATTAACCAGGAAAATTAAAATAATTAACAGCAATTATTAGGAAAAAGTAATTAAAATTTTTAAAAATTAAATGAAAAAAAAAAAGCAATTAGCATGTAATATTTTCCAAAATTAAAACATTAATGTCGCGACCTAAATAAGACTTACAAATAATAATTGTACTCTATTTAAATATCTTATTTGAATCCCAAATCTAATTATAATCAGTATGTGCCTATGAAAACTGACAGTTACTCTTAGTCAAAAAAGTGCCCTTTAACTCTCCAACTGGATGGTGGTGAAAAGGGAATCACAGGATGCCCTTTGTATTACACAACCAGGCATAGGTCATCAGATGGCACAAGATGGACAATATAGAGGAAAAAAAGAGAGAGACGCAGAGGAGAAAGGAGGAGAAGGGAAAACAAAGAAATAATGGGAAGAAGGACAAAGAGAAGAAGAAAAAAATCTTAATTTGTCATATTTGTTTGCACAAAAATATAGCAATATGTTCTGCTTTTAGAGAAAGAATGACTAAACCAGGCTTTATGTGGCAGTGGAACTTAATGTTCTGGTTGAGTAAACAATGGGTAGACTAGGGTGGAAACAATGGTACAAAGTGAGCTCAGATATTCACATCACAGTGACAAGAGGTTAGTAGACACCTCACCAGCCTTGACATTCACACCAAAATCACATGCTATTCATTCCTTCCCTATCTGACCCAGTGGTAGTATTGCAGCAAGGTGAGGGCCAGAGGGAGATATTAGAGGAAGAGGCTTTTATTGCCGGTGGAGCAGCGGTAGACTAACGTCCCAAAGAAACCGAGCTCCCCAAAAAAGCTTTCGTTTTAGCTTTATATAGGATTACATAGGGCTGAGTGGGGACCCCACTGTGTTAAGTTTTTCATTGGTGGTTCCTAGATAAGTGGTTTTTTTTTTTTACAAAAGCAGAAGAAGCTGTAAGTTTTTTATATGTAACCTGAGCTGCAAATTCCAAGGAACTGTAACTTTTCAGAGTTATTAGAACTCAGGGCTAGGTCTCAAGGGCCTATGGGCACGCAGCCTCCTCCCTCACTAGGAGGAGAATGAGTCACAAAGGTTTAGCTCTTTTAAGCACATATCCAACAAGGAGACATTTTTCTTTAGATTTTGAACGGGAACCTGAAATTCAACTTTCTATAACAGAACTCAACATATTTATCCCAGTCTCAACTCTAGTTCTTTGTTGTTCAGAGTAGCCCCAGATTAATGCCTTTGTAGGAGATACCACTTTCTCTAAAAACCTAAATAAAAAAGTGTGGGGAAGGCATGATGGCGCTAAGGACATACTGGCAGCATATAGCAAGGGCATCTGTATGTAAGCTAGCACAGAGAGAGCCCCAGGAAAACATCAGGACAATCCCTTTCTACATCCTGGATATTATACTACTTGTAATGAGATGCTGGATGTTAAAACATGTATGCGGAGCTGAGAGAAGACTGAGAAAGATAGTACAATGGTGGAGCAAAATAAAACTGTCATGATCTTTGTATATGTATTCCTTCAGTTGGGCTAATGAGGTGAATAAAGATAGCAGAAAGATCATTATCTTTACTGCATATAGTAGGTAAAAATGTGTTGCCCTAAAATTCATGTCTTCCTAGAACTTCAGAACGTGACCTTATTTGGAAACAGGGTCTTTGCAGAACAGGTTGAGAATATACTAGATGAGAGTGGATCCTAAATCTACTAACAGCAACTTTGTTAGAGACAGAAAAGGACACACATAAAGACACAGAGAAGGAGGTGATATAAAGATGTAGGCAGCGACTGAAGTGATCTGCCCACTAGTCAAGGAAGGCCAGGGATTGTCAGCAACTACCATAAATTCAAGTCAGATTCAGAAGAGGACGTATAAAGAGGGATATCATCATTGACTTCAGAGTATACCAAAGAGATACTCAGTTGTGTTTTATAGACTATGCAAAGGCATTCGATTGAGTGGACCTTAACAAACTATGGATAACATAGTGAAGAATGGAAATTCTAGAACACTTAATTATGCTCATGAGGAACCTGTACATAGATCAACAGGCAGTCATTTAAACAGAACAAAGGGATACTGAACGGTTAAAAATCGGAAAAGGTGAGCGCCAATGTTGCATCCTGTGACCATACTTTTTCAGTCTGTATGGTGAGCAAATAATTCATGACAGACATGTGGTATGCAGATGATACAAAGAAGATTTGAAAAACTTACTGATAAGCATCAAAATCTATATTATCCAGTACAGATTGCACCTCAATGTAAAGAAAACAAACGTCTTCACAACTGGAATAAATAATATCATGATAAACAGAGAAAAGATGGAAGTTGTCAAAAACTTCATTTTACTGGGATCCACAGTAAATGCTCAAGGAAGCAGTAAAAAAAATCAAAAGACAAGAAATCAATTGTATTATATTAGGCAAATCTGTTGCAAAAGGCCTCTTTAAAATGGTAAAGAGCAAAGAGGTTACTTTGAGGACTAAGGTGCACCTGACCCAATCTACAGTATTTTCAATGGTCTCATATGCAATTGGACAATGAGTAAGGAAGACCATGGAATAATCGACACATTTGAATTTTGGTGTTGGAGAAGAATATTGAAAGTGTTTTATAGGATTGCCAGAAAAACAAACAAATCTGTGTTGAAATAAGTACAGACAGAAGGCTCCTTAGAATCAAGGATGGCACATCTTTCATACTTAGAACATGTTGTCAGGAGGAAACAGTCTCCAGAGAAGGACATCATACTTGGTAAAGTGGAGGGTCAGTGAAGTAAGAGGAACATCCCTGAGCAATGGCTCAAGCCTCTAGGGCGATGTCCACGCCTGAACTCCTCCACTGGTAGAATCCTCACTTCTCCTCCTTTCTCTCTGAATGATTCACTCAATACCTCCTCCATGATTCCTCAGTATTTATTCCATACCTTGATCAGAACACACATCACTGTATAATCATTGTACGAAGTCATTTTTATTAGTCCATTGATATAATTAATACTAGCTTTATAAATGCCTTTCCACACTATACCACTTTGAGCTTTCTAAGTGAATAAGCCATCTACTTTTAATAGTATTTGAGGTAAAGGCAGAGAGATACTCATTACAGAGATAAATGTTGATTGCACACTTAATTACATGCCAGTACCATATTGCATTTTGGTGGTTTTCTGAGATATGCACTTAAAATTATTTTGTTCTGGTAGTGTTTCTGAGATTCACTGAATCAAAACTTACTGAATTAGTCACAACAATATGATTTTTTTAAAAAGTAATGAGAATACAGTGCATCCATCCTCAATATAAGTGTGTAAGTTTACAGTCAAGCATCAAGAGATATCCAAATTCTTCAACCTTGAGATTTAGACATGGATTTCAATACAGCGATTACAAAGGTTCATGGTTTCTAGTTAAGATATAAAACATTTAAATATTCCCTTGTTTATCAACATGTAATAGGAATCGTATCAACATGTCAACAGGAATTGACAATGACTCTCAAGAATGAAGATCATCAGGGATGATCCTAAAAGAGGTAGGTGAGGCAACTGGACATGTGATTCTACCATAAGAAAATGTATAAGTACCTTCACAGCTGAGCTAGGAGAATGGTGCATGAAATTTGGAACACATACACAGAAAATGTGTACTAAAGGACTATTTTGTCCCAAATTAAAATTGGGCATGAGAAAGGCTATTATTAATGCAGAGGAGAATGACAGAAGATGAGGATAACAAATAAATTTGACCAAAATAATTTTCTTCTTCAGTGTAGAGAATGCAGAGCTTCATTCCTGCATATTTTGAGAAGCAAATTCATTATTTCACTCATTTAAAGATTTTGCTGATACAAATAAATCCATCTTTTCTGGGGCATAAAATGATCAAGTATAACTTAAACACTACAAACATGTCCACAAGATGAACTGCATTTACTTATGAAAACTTCTAAACTGTGTGTGCCCCACAATTGATGTTATAGACATAGTGTGCTGGTTAAAGGATTGTTGACTTTGACAACTGTTATTAGTATATATTTACTTGTGCATATTTTCATCTGTAAGGAGGACAATCAACAGTTTTCCACCCAAACAAACATGAGCTGCTTCCCCATTTTAAATCATTCTTTCTGGAGTTCTTTTCAACAGCATTTATTTTAAAACAATCTTTGGGGGAACTACCTCAAATTTATAATAATATAATTCTTCATATTTAGTAAGAATTTTGGAAATATAGTCTAATACCAACCTGATCTACATTTAAAAAGTTTCATCAGGATTTTGCAAAACATGGTCTTATGAAGCAACATAACTATGATCATGCTTGTGGAAACATGCTATGGATTCCAATGGACGTATCCTGGATAGTACCAAGCATTGGAGTACTATACAATGATGTATTAGGTTTAACTAAAATACCCTCAGATAACTGTAAAACAACAAAAACGAATATACTTTCTGAGTTGGAAAACTTCAAAGTGAAGGAAGCAAGATAACTTACGAGGTATGGAATGAAACTACTAGAATTTAAAGTTATGCTTAGTTTTTTATTCTTTTACATTTTTACTTCTGGAAGTGTTTTATAATCGGTAACTAGTACAGTTAGTAAATTGCAAGCTTTATAAATAAGGTAGTTATGTTAGGTGTGTCTACTCAATAAGATTTTCACTGATAGGAATGCCTGAGTAAAAAAAAAAAAAAAATCAGCGGTTGGTACTCCAAGCTGTGGCTGGTAAAAGATAAATCCAAGGAAAAGGTTCTGCTTTTTCTGGGATTACATAATCTAATTCATTAATTATTTTTACTCAATTAATGAAGTTTAATTAAAATCTCTTTCAGATGACTGTTCCAAATGGAATTAGACTGGAGGTAGGAAAAGAAGCCAACTCCCTACTAATCAGAGTAATAATCCTGTAGAGATTGCAACCTGCCAATCAATTATAGCTTGCTTTGGTCCACCTCAAAGTTTGCCAGCTCTTACAGTGCCAGTATT